ATGTGGCTCCGAGAGTGACCGCGAGGCCACTTCATGGCCCCAGATGACGGCTGGGTTGCGGCCATGTTGTCTGCATCCCAGGGAGAGTTAACTCCCTGCCTTTTAAGAATTCTCCCCAGAAAGCAGGCCAGCCCCTCCAGACGTGGCCAGAATGTAGTCCCATGGACTCAGGACCCACCTACTGCAGGGGAGGCTGGGGTCTGAAGTGTTTATTTTCCAACAAGGCACATGCTCCAGGTTTTTGTTGTAAGGAAGGAGAGATGTCTTTTGGGGAAGCAATCAGCAGACTGCCACAGTTCCTTCCATATCACATAGCTCTTCAGTGTTTTATGGAAGCGATCTCAAGTAGTTTGTGGGATGCGTTAAGTTGTAAACAAACATCATTGTAAATATCAGTAAGTAAAGTGCACTACCATTTTGTTATTTATCACTCTGCCTTTCCATAATCCTTTTCTGTGAACTTCTCACTTATACTGATAGTGTATGTTTTGTTTTGTTTTCTAATATGTTTTTACTAGAGGCCCGGTGCATGAGATTCATGCACTGGTGCGGGGGGAGGGTCCCTCAGCCTGGCCTGCACCCTCTTGCAGTCCGGGAGCCCTCGGGGGATGTCTGACTGCTGGCTTCGGCCCACAACTGCCGCTGTGCTCGCTAGCTGTGAGCCCAGCTTCTGGCAGAGTGTTGCTCCCCCTGGTGGTCAGTGAGTGTCATAGCGACTGGTCGTTCCACCGTTCAGTCGATTTGCATATTAACCTTTTATTATATAGGATTGGTTTTAGAGAGAGAGGACGGGAGAAGGATAAAGAGATAGAAACATCTATTGGCTACCTCCTGCATGTCCCCTACTGGGGGATCGAGCCCACAACCTGGGCATGAGCCCTGACCAGGAATCGAACCGGCGACCTGCTGGTTCATGGGTCAATGCTCAACCGTTGAGCCACAGCAGCTGGGCAATCTATGTTTTGAATTTCAGTCAGTACAAACTTATCCAGGGCTAGAAGGGACCGTAGGCAGGTTTCTCCAAGGGTTGCCTATTCAGATGCCTGCAGGACCCATCCAGGTACCATAATGATAAGGAGGCCAGGGGTCGGTGTTGAGGACCATGATAGGGAGTGGTGGGGACTGTGGCAACCAGGAGCGAGGTTGCTCTGTGCCAAAGGGGTAGCAGCCTCTCAGCTGCGTTCACTGTTGCTTTTTTTTTTCTCAAGAGAAACCAGAAATCCAGATTTTTCTATGAAACCTGGCCCTTATAACTTAGCAGCTAATACATTGAAATTTAAAAATGCCGACCACATGCAGCACCACCCCGTGGGCTACCAGTTTAGGATCCACCCCTTGTTTTTCAGTTGGCAGCGAAGCCCTGGAGAGGTCCCGTGGCTTCTGACAGGGCCAGAGACTTTGCTGTTCCGTCCCCACCCGAACAAAGCCTGCTCTTCTGTGGCTAATTCATCTCAGAATACAAAGACGTAATAAAAATTTGCAGTTGAGCAAGACTACTCCAAAGGCTCATTGAATCTCCCCTTCAACTGGCTTTCATTTTCTGTGTAAATTTTTTTGGGGCGGAATCCGAGAATATTGGGCTGGAACCTCCCAGCTCGACGGTTTCACAGCTGTGAGACTTGGGGCAAGCCTTTCATCTGTGACTCTTCTGTGTTTTCCGCACCATCCATTTTCTTGCTTGCTTCTCTCTCTCTCTCTCTCTCTCTCTCTCTCTCTCCTCTTCTGGCTTTCAAGTGGCACAGTGTGGTGGTTAAGACAAAGATCTCTGGAGCCAGATAGGAATCCTGGCTTCTCTGTCTACTAGCTGTGTGGCCTCGGGCAACTTACTCAAGTTTTCTATGCCTCACAGGGTGTGGTAAGGAGTCAGTGTGTTAATATGTGTAAAATACAAAGAACAGAGCCTGGCACACAGGGATATATAAACACTGTTCTCTTTTTTTTTTGTCTCCTCTGCTGCTTTGAAAGGCATGGAGCCCTGGCTGGTTTGGCTCAGTGGCTAGAGCGTTGGCCTACAGACTGAAGGGTCCTGGGTTTGATTCCGGTCAAGGGCACATGTCCAGGTTTCGGGCTCGATCCCCAGGTGGGGGTATGCAGGAGGCTGCTGATCAATGCTTCTCTCTCATCATTGATGTTTCTATTTCTCTTTCCCTCTCCCTTTCTGAAATTATTAACAATTTATTATTATTATTTTTTAATCTTGAGAAGTATCCTATGAGAAAGGTACTATTTATTTTTTTAAAAAAATAAATAGTACCTTTCTCATAGGATACTTCTCAAGATTAAAAAATAATAATAATAAATTTTTAATAATTTCAGAAAGGGAGAGGGAAAGAGAAATAGAAACATCAATGATGAGAGAGAAGCATTGATCAGCAGCCTCCTGCATACCCCCACCTGGGGATCGAGCCCGCAACCTGGACATGTGCCCTTGACCGGAATCAAACCCAGGACCCTTCAGTCTGCAGGCCGACGCTCTATCCACTGAGCCAAACCGGTTAGGGCAAAATTTATTTTATTTTTTTAAATGAAAGGCATGGATCTCCAGCACAGTGGGCCTGGCTCTGGCTCTCCATCTCACGGGAGCACTTTTAGCTCCTGGTTCCTCTCCACAGCCAGCCTCCTGCCCCCAGTCCTTCAGGCTGTGCGCGCTCCCTACCCATTACTTCTAGTCTGTGCCCTTACTTTTCTTAGCTCAGATTTTTTCCATCATTACTGTATGTTTGCAAGAGAAAGAGTCAACTGACTGCTGTCTTTTTAAAATCAAATCAAATTTATTTTATTTTTTCCATCACCATTTATCCCCGCTATGCCCTCTTCCACCTTCACCCACACCCCTGACAGCTGTGTTGACCTACCGCCTCATTAAGTTATGTCATTGGTTAGACAGAGACAATACCTTTCCGGGGTTTCTGAAGATTACGTTACGAGATAAAGGGTAAAAGCAGGGCGAGTTTGCTTTAGCCAGAGTTCTGAGCGCAGCAGATAACTTGTCCTGGAAACCAGAGAGAGCCGCCACTCTGTGGGTTGCCAATGGCTTCCCCCAGCAGGTTTGTTCAGCCGGCCAAGAGTGTGACACACATGTTAATTACAGAAATTGTCTTTTTCCCTAAAGACTTGAAATGCAGAGAAACGGAAATGTGCTTGTATTTGAATTAAATGGCTTCCTTCTTGTCCCCAATCTTTTCAGCTTTTAGGTAAATCTGAATAAGAGATCTGACCTGCCCGGCCCAGCTACACAACATTTCAAGTTCATATTCCCACCTAGAGAGGAGCAGAGTAAATAGGTATGTATTGTCCAGACTCTTGTCCAGTTTACTTCTTTAAAAAAAAAATATTTTTATTGATTTCAGAGAGGAAGGAAGAGGGAGAGAGAGATAGAAACATCCATGATGAGAGAGAATCATTGATCTGCTGCCCCTGCAAGTCCCCCACTGGGGATCGAGCCCACAACCCGGGCATATGCCCTTGACCTTAATCGAACCTGGGACCTTACAGTTTGCAGGCCAACGCTCTATCCACTGAGCCAAACCGGCTAGGGCTTGTCCAGTTTTACTTCTGCCACCTCCCCATGTTAGTTAGTAGTGAGTGGAAGCGGGGAGGAAAGGACCTATTTTATTTTATTTTAATTTAATTTTTAAATATATTTTTATTGATTTCAGAGAGGAAGGGAGAGATAGAAACATCAATGATGAGAGAGAATCATTGATCAGCTATCACCTGCACGCCCCTCACTGGGGATCAAGCCCGCAACCCGGGCATGTGCCCTGACCGGAATCGAATCCAGGACCCTTCAGTCTGCGAAATGACACTATCCACTTAAGCCAAACCAGCTAGGGCTGTTTTATCTTTTTTATTTGATAAGTCTGCTCTGGACCAACAGGGAAACTGATGAAGCCATCTGCTGCTCTCTCTGTTCTCTTCCCGACAAAGGGAGCAAGAAAGCCCCTGTCTCAAGTCCATAGCGCCAGCGTCAGATCAGAGAAATTTTGGAGTTCCTGCTACATCTTGTTTTGAGCTCTTTCCTCACTAGACTTAAAGATCCATGTTAACAAGCTGAATCCTCTTGGATGTTTGTTTCTCGTTGGCTTGACTGGCCCAGGTGGCAGGGCTCTGATGAGGTGAAGGACTGGAGCCATAGGTTGAACGCTGGCACTAACTGTAACCGTAGCCCTAACCCCTTGGAGAATTGATTAACCCTACAGACCCCCTCTCCAGAAAGTTGTGCATTACACAGACTGCCACAGGGTTCCTGGGCCCTAGAATCCTTTAGGGACCCACACACTCCAAGTTAAGAATCCTGTTTTAGGCCCAGCTGGCATGGCTCAATGGTTGAGCATTGACCTATGAACCAGGAGATCATGGTTTGATTCCTGGTTGTGGCACATGCCCAGGTTACGGGATCAATCCTCAGTGTGGGGCATGCAGGAGGCAGCCGACCAATGATTCTCTCTCAT